CTATTGGTTAGCAGCCAAGATTTACTCACAATTAGGTTATTTATGCCTTTTGCATCCTTGTTTATTTTTGGTCCACTTTATATGTCTTTCACTGAGAGTGGTATATTCAGCTTTCCTGTTAATTTTTTATTTACTATTTCTTTGCTTCTGTTATATTGCTTTACAGAGGTATCTGCTATTATTTGGTGCAGTTGTTTATGACTTACTAATTCCTTGTAGCTGTGGCTTTTAGAATGAAAGCGTCCTTTATCATGTTTAAGGAGCCCTGGTTAAAGTGCTTGGCTGCTAACTATCCAAAAGATTGGCAGTTTGAACCCATCAGCAGCTCCGTGGGAGAAAGATACAGCAGTCTGTGTCTGGGAAGATTTACAGCCTTGGAAACCCTATTGTGCTCTTCTGCTCTGTTCTATACAGTTGCTGTGAGGTGGAATTGACTCAGTAGCAATGAGTTTGGTTTTGGCTTATCATGTTTAATCCGGTTTTGGTTTATCATGTTTAATCCTTTTTGCCTTAAATTTATTTGTCTGATAGCAAGATCACAAACAATCCGTGCTTTTTTTGTTTCCATTTGTTAGTATTCCTCTGCTCATCCCTTTATTTAGGCTATCTGAATCACTTTGTTTTAGTTGTCTCTTGTATTAAGCATATTGTTGGGTTTTGCTTTGTGAAGCAAAATTAAAATATTTTTTGTATCTACATCTAAGTTAAACTCATTCACATTTAATGATATGACTGATAGGTTTGGTCTTAACTGTCATAGTATTTTATATATATAATTACAATTGCATGACAGTTGCATTGTGTTATGTTTGCCCTGTGTCATAGTCATCTAGTGCTGCTGTAACAGAAAATGCTACAAATAGATGGCATTAACAAAGAGAAATTTATTTTCTTACAGTTTTTTGTTATTGTTATGTGCCGTCGAGTCGGACCTGACTCATAGTGACCCCTCCTTGGGTTTCCGAGGCAGTATCACTACAGAAGTAGATTGCCCCATCTTCCTTCCAAGGAGTGGCTGGTGGGTTTGAACTGCCAGCCTTCTGGTTAGCAGTCAAGTGTCTTAAGTTTAGAAGGCTGGAAGTCTGAATTCAGAGCATTGTCTCTAGGGGAAGGCTTTCTCTCTCTTTCTGCTCTGGAGGAAGGTCCTTGCCACTTCAGCTTCTGCTTCCTGGTTCCTTGGAGATTTCCATGTGTCTTGGCATCTATTTTACCCCATCTCTGCTTCCTAGTTTGTTTGTTTAGTCCCCTTTATATCTCAAAATAACTCAAGACACATCCTACACTAATTCCACCTTGTTGATATAATAAAACCCATTCCCAAATGGAATTATAGCCACAGGCAGGGAGGTTAGGATTTACAGCACATATTTTGGGGGGGACACAATTCAATCTGTGGACCAGGCACTATTTTTTTCTGTTGTACATAGGGTTGCACCTCACTGGCACCTAACAACAACACAACTATCAATCTATAACACCCTGGCTTTTTTCCTACAGAGTGTATTTTTATTGCTCTTTCATTAAACACATTTTTTTAGTATTTTAGAAGATTTTAGTTTTGTTTTAATGACTGTTTTTGTAATTAGATCTTTTTTAATACTTTTCATCACATTTTCTTTAGCCTTTAGTTACGTGGTTTGTCAGTTTTTAAGTTTCCTTTAACTCCCATCTGTTATGATGCAATAATCAATGGAGTTGTTTTCCTTTTTCTTTCCCTCTTTCTTCTCCTTTTTTTAGTTGAATTATTTATATTTTAACAGTTTATTTAACACATTTTCTAATTCAGTAGCATCCATTCATCACTGACATAAATGCTTGTTTTAAATATTGTGATAATTATAAATATTGTGATGTTTGTTTTTACACGAGATAGCTTTTTTGGAGGCTAGTGGGGGTGGGGGCAAGGGGAAAGATTGAGTGTCTTTCCTTGTCCCTTCATCTTGAAGCATCTTCAGTTTTTCCCACCTGTTCCTTTTCTCCTTCAGTGTATAATTTCCAAAAGACCTCTCTCCCTTCCTTTTCACTCCCTTCTTTCCCAGTTTTCTCTCCACAACTGTCTTGTCAGTCTTTCTGCATCCTACCCCTTTGTTCTGCTCTAACCAGAATTCTTTCAGTATTTTTGTGTTTAGGGTGGGTTTTCTCTTTGGAGCAGTGAATTATAAGTCAGTCTTAGCACTGATAGCTCCCCTTCTCTATTTTTCCCACATTCCCAGATTGCTTTTGCTCTCCTTGATGGCTTGCAGGTAGAGTGTGATAGATAACTAGCCAGGATGTGGTGAGGGTGTGAGTTTTGTGTAATAGATTTGTTCTTGTTCTTCCTGTGTTTTTAAAGATACATTGAGAGAGTTGGATTTCTTCAGCCACCAATACCTCCTCTTTTTTTTTTTTTTTAACCATCATCTTTATATTTCTTCTTCCAGAGATACTTTGTTCTTTCTTTTCCATATTTATGTCACTTTTCTTTCCGTTGGCTTCTGTAGGAAGTCATTTTTAAATAATTGATGTGGAAGCTTTATCGATTTTTCTGAAAAATTCCATTTGACAATAAGATTTTACAATTTCCCTTTAGTTTAGAATTTAGAAATCCAATATCTTTTCCCTAATAAGGTTTGATTTGTTTGCTAGTCCTATTCTTTTTACTTTTCCAGTTAGTTCTTTAATTCCTGGTATCCATTGGTCCTTGTCCTAGCAGCAAATAGCTTTTAATATTTTGAGCTCCATTTGGTCCCTGAGACCCTGCAAAAGCTCTAGAGTGGATGATCTTTGGCTTGGATGATGTGGTTAAGTTCAAGCTGCAGCTTCTAGCCCATTTTCTGTGGATGATGATTGCAACAGAATCAGTGCTGTTTGAATCTGTCCTGCATGTGTGCCACCCAGTAGTCAGTCTGGGACAGTTGAGCAGAGGTCTGCTTGCCAGCTCACTTACTGAAGTATTTGTTATACAAATGAATATTGGGTCCATGTGTGTACAGGTTGAGGGTGCATACAGGAGTTTATAAACAACTTTATGGGGTTGCTTTCCTCAGCTCATTTCTGTCCATTATTTCCCTGTCACTTTAATATTCCCTGGGGCTCCTCTTTTTGATGGATTGATTATGATTCCAATATAGATCGACTTGGGCTATTTTAAGTTTTTCAGTTAAGTTGTATGATAGTTGTGTGCCTTCCAGTGAAGGAGGGGTACTGACATTAAAGAGGTGGTTTTATTGTAGTCCCAAATATACTTCTGGTCCCTACTGTATTTCAGATCATGGCAGCTTGAGTTCCTTTAGGGAAGATTATGTCTTAGAGATTTAAATGTAGTGCTGAGGTCTAGTGTTAGGGGCCTTTCTTAGTTATCTAGTGCTGTTGTAACAGAAATACAAGTGGATGCCTTTAACAAATAGAAATGTATTTTCTCACAGGTTAAGAAGCAGAAGTCTGAATTCAGGGTGCCGGCTCTCAGGGACGTCTTTGTTGACTCTGGGGGAAGGTCCACTTCTTTTTCAGCTTGTTTCTTGGTCTTTGGAGATCTCATGTGCTGTGTGGTACCTGTCTTCCATGATCTGTGCTTTTTTGCTTCTTGCTTAATCTACTCTTTTATATGTCAAAAGAGATTGACTTAAGGCACGCCCTACGCTAATACTGTCCCATTAACATAACCCAATTTCCAAATGGGATTATAACCACACATATAGTAGAATTTTATCCATTGCCATTGAGTCAACTCCTACTCATTGTGACCCTATAGCAAGATTTACATACATGTTCTGCAGGGACACAGTTCAATCCATAACAGAGCCCTTTCCTTCAAAGCTGTTTATGATCCTTAAGGAAGCTACAGATTGTTCAAGTGCTCTATAGATTCTTTATTGCCCTTTTCTCCAAAGAGTCATGTGGGATGCCTTAAGATTTAAGTTATTTTCTTTAGAATTAAATTTAAGGGATTTCATAAGATAACCTATCTGCTCCTCTTTTGGAAATTGCAGTTTACTTGGCTGTGACCTGTTTTTTAGGTCCTTTGTGTCTAAGTGATCTAGTGCTAATTTATGACATACAAGGCTCCATTTTTATCTTGTCCTTGCCTTTTACAGAATACTATCTTCCTTGAGAAAGAAAATTCTCAGGACCAGGAAGTGAATACTGCCTTTCTTCCATCTAGATTCTGGGTAAGCTACTGTTTTTCAGGATTTATATGTGCCTTCTCCCCGCCAGACTGCATCTCAGCAGAATAGCTCCCATCTCCTGTGGCATTCAGTCCCTTTTTCTTTTACTAGGTAAGGAGAGAAGTAGAGTTTCACTGGGCATCCATTTATGTACTTAGCAGATATTTATTAAACACTAGCTGTGTGCATACATCAAACATTTTGCATTCAATTTCAAAAATTTCATAGGTTATGCAAGAATCCAGTCATGCCAACTAAGAACTTCTTTATTTGCAGGCATTAACTTGTTATTCAGCTCAACCCTATTAGGTAGTTTCTAATACTAATCTGTTTTACAGATGAGGAAACTAAATGGTTAAGTAACTTGTCTAAAGTCACACAGCTTAGATGACAACAGTCATAAGAACCTGTCTTTTCTCTCTGAGCACTGAGAATTCTAATCATTGACCATTTCCTTTCAGACTGTTCTACAGAAAGGACTACAAAGGTATTCACAGTTTGCTTTCTTCATGAATAGGCATACTAATTCTTAAACCTGTCCTGCTTTCTCAGCTGGAGCATGGGGAAGAGCCTTGGGTTTGTGATCACAAGGTTCATAAAAGAAAGGATTCCTAATATGGTACTTCCACATATGCATTTTTAATTAATTGTATATCAGCCAAGAGAAAATGAGATAACTGATTTCACCTCCTGTAAAACCTAGAATACTTACAGAGTCTGTGAAGGATTTCTGACTTTTCTGCATTGATTTTAATTTTGAAGCTTCTTTTCTGAGTTATAGATACTTAAATAGTATTTCTGTTTTGCCTCACAGGTTTGGAAATACTAAGTAAGAAATTAGTATATAGAATGCTGGAAACTTGTGGATGTGATCTGCCTATAACTAAAAGACCTGAAGAAGATGTATCTTTCAAGTTCTTACGAAGACAATGACTGTTAAGACAATGATGGGTCAAGAAGACCAGTGGAAAACTCCCTAGAAGAGAGCCATAGAAGATGTACACTTCAGAAGAGAGCTGTAATCAGAGAACTCAAAAAAGAAAAATATATCATGTATGCCCTCAGAAGGGTAGAAAGATTTTTATTCATGTGCATAAGATTACTCAACTAGACGATCAGATTTACCAGTGCCTTGAATGCGAGCAAAGCTTCTGTGAAAACTTAGCTCTTATTATGTGTGAGAGAACCCATACTGGGGAGAAACCTTATAGATGTGATATGTGTGAGAAAACCTTCATCCAAAGCTCAGAACTTATTTCACATCAGAGGATCCACACTTACGAGAAACCTTATAAATGTAGCAAATGCGAGAAGAGCTTTTGGCACCACTTAGCCCTTTCAGGACACCAGAGAACCCATGCAGGTAAAAAATTCTATACATGTGACATTTGTGACAAGAATTTTGGTCAGAGCTCTGATCTGCTTGTCCACCAGCGAAGCCATACAGGCGAGAAACCTTATCTATGTAGTGAGTGTGACAAATGCTTCAGTCGAAGTACAAACCTCATAAGGCACCGAAGAACTCACACAGGTGAGAAACCATTTAAGTGTCTGGAGTGTGAAAAGGCTTTTAGTGGGAAATCAGACCTTATTAGCCACCAGAGAACTCATACTGGTGAAAGGCCCTACAAATGTAATAAGTGTGAAAAGAGTTACCGACACCGTTCAGCCTTCATTGTACATAAAAGAGTTCATACTGGGGAGAAGCCCTATAAGTGTGGTGCCTGTGAGAAATGCTTTGGCCAGAAATCAGACCTTATCGTGCACCAGAGAGTCCATACAGGTGAGAAGCCCTATAAATGTTTGGAATGTATGAGAAGTTTCACTCGGAGTGCCAACCTAATCAGGCACCAGGCAACTCACACTCACACTTTTAAATGCCTTGAGTATGAGAAAAGTTTTGACTGTAACTCAGACCTTATTGTACATCAGAGAATTCATATGGAAGAGAAACCACATCAATGGTCAGCCTGTGAGAGTGGCTTCATCCTAGGCATGGACTTTGTTGCCCAACAGAAAAGGAGAACGCAAACAGAGGAGCTACGTTATAAATACAGTGTATGTGATAAAAGTTTCCACCAGAACTCAGCACTTCTTCAGCACCAGACACTCCACATTGCTGAAAAACAGTATGTTTATAATGTGGGTGAGAAAGGTGTTGAGCTCAGCCCTCCCCATGCTTCAGAAGCCTCACAAATGTCTTGACCAGACAAGAAGTTATAATACCATACAAAAATGTACTTACATGTCAGAGAACTCACTAAGATGAAAAACCTTAGGCAGATCTCCATGGTAAAACAGACTTTCCTCAGAGCTCAGACCTCAGTGGAAACCAGAGAACCAGCAGTTGTAAGAAGTGTGAGAAATATTTTGCCCAGAGAGTTGCCCTAAGAGAACACCTTACTACTCTCCAGTGAGAAGCCTACGAATTCCTTGAGTTTTGGGAAACCTTTGGTCTGAGCTCAAATCTGATCACTTATGTACAGGTGTTAAACCTTATAATGCAGTGGATATGAGAGAGCTTTCTAGCTGTCTAAGAATGCTCAGCCCTCCTTGTTCCAGGAGAATTCATACAGTAGAACACCTTTAAATGCCCTCGTTGTCAGCAGTGCTTCAGGCAGTGTGTACGGCTCATTGGACATAGAAAACTCAAAATTGTTAAGGAGTTCCAACAAGTGTGAGAAAAGCATCCAACAGAACTCTGATTTCTTACCCATACTGTTGAAAAATTCTGTGTTTGTCTTGAGTGTGGCAGAAGCATCAGTTGGAGAAGCCTACTTGTATTTTCATCACAAAAGGAAAAAAAAAATCAGAGGAAAGACCTTACAAGTGTCTGAATGAAAAAAGCTTTGTCAATGATCAGCTCTTGTGGTACACCAGGGAACTCACATAAGTGAAAAACCCTTTAAACACCATGAGCCTGAAAAAAGCTTTGGTAAAAGCTCTTCTTGGGCCTCAAAGAACCCACTCTACAGAGAATTTTGCTCCAGGGAGAGATCTGATTGTGGGTGAGAATCTGTGTACATATAATACATATGAGAAGAACTGTTCTCATAGTTAGTTGACACATACAGTAGAGAAGACTTTCCATGGAATCAGTGTGGAAACAGTTTTTTAGATACCCAGAGCTTGTTCTGGGAGTGGCTAGGGCAGGTCAGAGTAGGCCTAATGGGTAACTCAGGTAAAGATGCTTTTCTTTTATCTGAACCACTTAATGATTGCTTTATGTTCATTATTATTATTTTTTTAATCCAGAAATCCAATAAAGGCAAGGACTAACCATGTGATAGAAGGTGTGGCATGTGTTACTGTTGGGGGAAAGGAATATATTAACTTTGCCTTTGCTTTTTATTCTTGACTATAATGGGGATAACTAGTGTGTTTGGTAGCTTTTTGCTGGCAATGAAAAGAACTAAGAGCTAGGGAGTAGTCATCCTGGAACAAAACTCTCCCAATAGTTTCCCCTTTGCAGGGCCAACCTCATAAAGAGACAGAATATTCAGCTTTTTACTTAGTGTGAGTTGAAACATACCTTCAGATGTTTCCTTTTCTCTAAAATATTCTTTCAGACCATCACTGGTGTTTAGAATTTCAGCCTTAGAGATTCATTTGTTTTTAACTCAGAAATGCAAATTCTAGGATGTTAGGATGTTGCTGGTATCTATAATTGTGTAACTTCATTTATCTTACCTTTCTGAATGAGAGATACCTATAGTCATCTTGTAAAATGGTTAAGGGAAGGAAGGTTAAAAGAAAGGTTTAAGCCTGATGGGGCACGAAGTAAAGACCACATGATGATGTGGAATTAATGGTGGAGCCAGACTTTTTTATGTTGACAATAAAGGTACTCTTCTTTCCACCTCATTCTTCTGCTTATAGAAAATCTAGCCCCACAATGATATGCCTGCATTTATTCCAGTTCTACCAAGGAAAGAGAATATCATTCTTTCCCAGAGAAAGGACCACAGTCATAGGGTATATATTTGGCTTGGAATCCAGGGTTCTAAATACTAGGAGGGGAAAAGACTTGGCAAATTGATCAAAGGTTTAAGGGTAAGCACTTGTTTCCAGCTTAACAGAATAATTATGATTGTCTTTAACATTCTCTAGAAATACTGTAATTAATCCAGGGATCTATAAATACACACTTCTAGATTTTTTATTCTCTTAGATTAAAAAAATGTTAAACAGGTATTTCACATTCCTACAGAATGTGGAGCTCTGGTAGCATAGTGACTAAGGCACTTGACTGCTAACCAGAGGGCTGGTGGTTCAAACCCACCAGCCACTCCTCGGAAGGAAGGTTGGGGAATTACTTCCATAGTGATACTGCCTCGGAAACCCAAGGAGGGGTTGCTATGAGTCAGTCCCACTTGATGGCGTATAATAAAACAGTAATAACAATGTGGGACTCTAAACTGGTGAATATGTATTTGTTGCTAGTCTGAGTCTTCAGATTTAGTTTGATTTATCTTAACACAGCCCAGAGCTCCAGAGACCATTGTCATCTGAATTCATGGAGTTGGCCAACTGCTACATTGCTGCTTTGCATATGGCCCTAAGCTTTGATCCTAATGACTGGTTCTTTCTGTTCTTTTAGTGTCTGTTGAGCCATGATGATCATCTCATTTTAGGGCCAGTGGATCTAGCTGACAGTGGTAATAAGAAATGGGACTCTAGGATGTTTTCTCTTTTAGAAAATAGGTCCTGGAAGTTTATTTGAGCTGATGTGTTTCAGTACTTTGCATAATAGCTCTTGTACCATAAAAGTTGCCCAGTGTGCTAAAACACACATGATGTATTTGTTTCTCTTTGGTGAAAATCATGCCTATCACTAGTGTATGTTTGAAATTTAGTACTTAAAATAATATTGGGGATGTGGCATGGTGGTGATGGCAGTTAGTCCTAATGGCCACTTGTTGATCATTAGAGGGAACTTGGAGAAGGGGACAAAGTTGGTATCCTTAGCAGGGTAATGACTTGCCCTTTGACTTACTGATAAATGTCTCTTAAGTAAATTAGGGATGAACCATCCTTCAAACTGAGAATTTTGGGGGTATTAAACAGGTCTAAGGGCTTTTTAAAAAAGTGTTGGTATTATCCATATAGCATAACCTGAGGTTGGAGAGGACCACTTGGGAGCCTGTAACCAAAACTAGAATGTAACTTCTGGGATGGATGGAGGTTCTTTTGATGCAGTGCCAACCTAAATCTACCTCAGGTAAGTAGTTAGAGTAACTCTGAAGATTTCAGACCAAATGAGACACTTGTATCCAGTCCATGTATTCCTATGCTTTAATGTTTTTGTTTCCCCTTAATTCTTAAATAAATGTTCATTCTGAAAAACTCCATTTTTGTCTCCACTGTAAATAAGAGAAAAAACCCTTTTTCTTACATATCCACGTTAGAATAGAGCAAATACTCATGTGACCCTTAGACTTGGTGGTGATGATAGCCATCAGATCATCAGTGGGATTCCAGGAGTTTGATGCTGAGGGCAGAGTGAATGGAAACCTGGAGGGAATATTGGCTACGCTCTGCTGTGAACCTTGGATCCTTTGAGCTTCCCCACTGCATTACTGACCATATTTGGGGCTCTGGTAAAATTCAATAACAATAAAACCCTATGCTTTAATATGGATAACCAACACCTTCGAAATTAAGAAGAAATAGTTTGATAATCTTTCCAGCCATATCCACAGTAGGCTTCCTTTCTACCTCTTCCCTCCTCGTCTTATGCTTTTATGAATTTAAGTAGGGTGAAGGAAGGGATTTAAAAATGGTTGCTCTTATTTACCCCTCATTACTCAGAGATTTGGGCTTTAAAGAGTTCAGAGAGCCAATAACATTGCTTTTTGTTTATGGTACTTCAGTTTATATCACTTGTATCTGAAAACATCCTGATATATCCCCTAAACTCCTTTCTTACCTAGCTAGGAAATTTTCCTTAACAATCCTCTGTATGTACTTGTTTTTCATTTATCCTCCTTTCTGTACCTGAGCTCACACATAGGCTTTAGTTGGTCAATGACCTGTCTAGACTTGTATGACAGAGTTTTTCAGGGAAAGTTTATAGTTTCACCAGATTCCCAAAGAGCTTCATTGGCCCACCAAAGATTGAGATACACACTGTTTTCAAGCCCAGTTCAGTTACAGGTGCTCTACAAAGTATCTTCTGGACTTTTCTACAACTTCTTCAACATTGGCCTATCTACTAAAATTACCAACCCAGGTGCAGTACATCCCCTTGTGTTAACATTGGGTTTTGAAATACATCTCCCACTAAAGGAACCAGGGCTCTTTGGAGAAATGACTGGTAACAAATTTGGAATAGGAAATGTTCAAGATGAGTCCAGACAATCTTGTCATAACAGCAAGGAAGGTATCAAAGATTTTAGGGTGTGTTAAATGGACTCAGAAGCCCACATGAAAAGGCTCTCACTGGCCAAAGATGGAACAACTTAAACACTGAGAAGGATAATAGCTGCAGTGGGTTGGAAAACATGAAATATATTTAAAACCATGAGTTTATAATGTGAAACTAATTGGGCCCATATTGGGGATTAAAAAACAAATTGAAAATCAGTTAATGGGGGAAGTAATAAGCATTTATCCTACTTTTTCTATACAAACTTGACTGCTCGGAATCAAAATAGTTGATAGAACATCTTCATAACAATAAATGACGAGATTGAGGTAAATTATAGAAAATGTTTCTTGTATACCTGAATTTTGTGACCTGAGTATACTGAGTTACTTACATTTTAAAAATTATGTTGTTAGACCTTTATATTTAACCATATCTGGAGGAACCTAGACATAGTTGATAATAAGAATTTTTCAAAGAAATTCATTAGTGATGTCCCAATATTTAGAATATAATCCAGACCCTCTGACTATAATCTGAATACTGCCCCATGTAATCTGATGTAACCTGAACCCTGGCTACCCCTGTTTCCTCATCTTCTACTCCCTGCCTCCTACCACACTAGCCTTTGTTTTCCTTCTTTTTTTTTTTTTTTTTTTTTTGTGTGTGTGTGTGTGTGTGTGTGTGTGTGATTTGGGTGAAGATTTACAGAGCAAATTCACTTTCTGTACAGCAGTTCACATATACTTTGTCTCATGTCATTGACCACAGTTTACCACAATGCAACAGCTCCCCTCCCACTTCCTCCCTATAGTTACCTCTTCCCAGTGTCCATCCGTCTATACACTCCTGCCCCCTGAGCTGTCTCCCTGTGCATAAGCAGCCCTTCTTTCTCCCATAATTGTTCTCTCCAAGGTGTGTATCTACTTGAGGTAAATGTTTAACTCATATGCCTGTATTTTACTTGGCTGGAAACTACAGGTTTGGGTTCAATTCCAGACCTGAAGGGCAATTAGGGGGCATAGTCTCAGTGGTTCCACCAGGCTCTATCGGACCAGCAAACCTGGTCCCCAACTTTTTTTTTTTAAATCTTCAAATGATTTTCAGTTTTGTTCCACATTGTTTTACCTCTCTATCCAGGATCTCCTACATAGATCCCCTTCCAAGTGGGTGACAGTGGTAGCCAGACACCATCTAGTTCTTCTGGTCTCATAGTTGTATAGGCTACAGATAGGATGGTGTACCAGTTGCTAGGACTAATTGTTTCCATGAATTTTGGTTTTCTTCATTCTTTGCTCTGGACGAGGAGAGACCGATCGTTGCATCTAGATGGCAGCTTGCTAGCTTTTAAGATCCCAGTCACTAATCGCCAAAGCAGGAGGTGGAACGATGTTTTGTATAGTATGTTCTGCCAGTTGAGCT